TAGGACAATGAAGGCTCCCCTTTTATGAGCATTGTAAATTCTCATTTTTTCCGTCGATAATATCGCATGCTGTTTAGCGGTACTACAATCGGTGGTGTCAGTTGTGTTCTCCAACTATCCCCGCGCTGCCGTCCTCACTGTTCACCAAGATGGCTAGTGCATTGGTGGTGGCAGCGAGATCGCTTGTATGATAGTCCTCTGTAGCCTCTTGCAGCGGTAGGCTTTTACCAGGAGTTCTGGCTGTTATGACGTTAATCCTTACTCACACTCACAACATTCCCCATCTAGTGAATTCTCCCTAAGACGAATATTTATCCCACCTTATCTGGTTTGGGCTGTAGCGCTACTTAAACTTTTTAAAGCTGGTTGTGTGTTATTCACGCTTCTCCGATTGAAAATAGGCCGGTTAGGGATTAGAAGAGAATTGCCTTCTGAGTAGAAGAGAATAAGCAGTGTTGGTGTGTATTTTAGTCCTATTATTACTTAAAATTGCATCCACTTGGAAATATGACTAGCATGGACTATTGAATTGACTGTTAACAACTGTCTTCGCTTGTTTCTCTATCATGTCCCTTTCGTTTTAGTGCAGCATACCTCCTGCAGCATTACACTGAATGAGGTAGGTCTGCTTTCCTCTGCCCCATCACCTTACTTCCCTATTTGGTTCTTGTAGAGTTGGGACGGGGATGTCAAGTAAGTCCTCTTTACACCTAATTCGAGCTTCCCTTCAGAGATGACATTGAAATGGTTCTGAATCGTTTGATTCCGGAGGTGAGTCTTCTTCCTCACTCTCTGATACAGGGTCTTTTAGAAATTGAACTACAAGCACTCTTGCGAGGGTCCCGACGATATGGTAGGTCACACATATCCTCTCCAATTTCTCTCTCCTCTCTTTTCTCTCCCAAAAGCCAGCTCACGCTAAACACGCTATTCTAAGCGGTTCCAATGTAACCATTCCCATTACTGACGGCAGAATGAATTTGGGAACGTGGCAGGGTGTCTGGTTCATCGAACACCGAAATCAGAAATGTAGGTTAAGTTCTTGCCTCTGATATCTAGCTTTGGGTGCCTTTCTAAAAGGCAAATGACATGGATATATCGGCTCTGTGTTTCACCACTTATGAACGTGACTCCTTTGTCACGCACATATCTCACATTACTGCCGACCTCGAGCTCATTATCACACATTGCGTTCCCGACAGTTCTGAACACCTCACTTCATGGCTTTGCTTAAGTAGCCGTCCTTACGCAAGCCCACTCTAGAATTCGCTCCTTTCGAATAAGTTGGGCTTGCTAATTCCTTGTTGTTTCAAGATCATCTGATGCTTTGCTTCTTTTTCTCTCAGAAGCGCACATTGTCACCGCAGATGCAAAATTTGCCCTCCCAT